GTCTGTTCTTTCTTCTAATAAACGTATTTTTTTACACATATCTTTCATCTCTTCCTTCAGCTTTAAATTTTCTTCGTTCATTTTGTTGATTTCAGCTTTTATGGAACGGATTTCGGAATTCAAACTATCAAATTTATCTTGGATTAATTCATATATCGATTTAAGTGAGTATTCAGGTTCAATAGTCTTTGTTAGTAAATCTTCTTCCGGTTCGAAGAAGTCTTTTATTGTAGCATACTTCGAGATATCAGTAGTACTCTTGGAGTGTTCCTCAATTAAATATTCCTCTTCTGACATTTCGCTTGTCTGAGTATTTTCTTCTATATTTCTTGTATGCTCTCTACGTGGTCTCCCTCGTCCCCTTTTTTGCATAACTGCTTGACTTGGTATTGGAGGAGATCGAGGGAAAGGTCCGGGATTTAACTCAATGCCAGCAATCATTAGTAGAATAAAAATTATTATTCGAGTTAATGAAACATTTAAACAACTTATTTCAGTTCTACACTTAATATTCCGTTGTAAAAAATCCATGTCTAACGTCGCCATAACAGCTCAGCAAAAAAAGTCACCAACACCTCCGCAGGCTAGACACGCCCCCTCTTGGTGGATTATTAATGTTTTGTTTATTTTTAATAAAGAATTCAAATAAATTCAAGTAAAAAAATGATAGCAATCCTGAAATTATTTATGTAATTTGTTTATGTATCCAAAATCATGGTTGCCAATGATTTTGGATACATTAGGTCAACAGAATCTTGAATTAGTTTCCCAATACATTTTATATGTAAATTCCATGCATAAGATGATGATTAACAAAATTTCCAGAACTTCTGACTTCTCATTGATCAGTGATTATTGTTCTGCTTTTTTTTCTTTTCTTTTTATATTATTTTATTAATTTATTTATTCTGGCCTTAATATAGTATCTCCATATAAGATATCCTTGTAAATTATACCTGTATAGATTAATATAGAATAAAAAACTAAAATTAAACAAAATTTAAGTTTTTTTCTTCATATTTCAAAGGAAGTTGCAGAAAGTTTATTTTTACATTAATTTTTTTTTTTAATTTTTTACTTGCATTAGAAAATTATTAATTAAATTATTATGACTAATGGTTTAGTCATAACTTTAATTAATAATTATCCTTTTTACAGTATATTGCCTAGAAACAAAAATTAAATGCTACATTTCTTATCATAACATATAATAACTATTAATTTTCTTTGGACATATAAGAGTTGAAAAACAATATTGGAAATTGTTGTTATTACTACTATTTCATTGACTTCTTTTGATGAAAAAGAAAATAACTTTATCTTGGAATTAAGATTATATTAAAAATATATTAAGAGTAAAATATTGAAAATGTTTAATATAATATAAACATATTTTAACAAAAAAAATGAAATAATGAAAATGAATTTTATCATTACACATTTTTTTTCTAAAGTTACTATAAATTTAATACTTATTTATAGCAATTGAATTTCTTCAATTCTAGAAAGCATTTTTTCCCACATTTTAATGTCTCCAAAATCAGAATTCAGTCATATAGAATTCATAAATAAATAAATGTATAGCATTAATTTAGTATTTCAATTAGTATAAAAGTTGTAAGTAATTCCATGGATAAATTTATGTTGTTGTCGGTTAATGTGCAGTTTTAAATCTATAATACATCCTAAAATTAATGATTTCTTAGAATTGAAGTAATGTTGTAGATACTATTTCAGATTGTAAGGAATAAATTTATATAAATTGCCAGCAGTTATCAATATTTACATGATTAAATTTATATGTTAGTACAGAACAGTAATTATTTTTTTAATTTACAGTTAATTAAATAATTCTATTAGTTTTCTAACATTCTTAATCTCTGTTCCCATTTATAAATTTCATCTTAGTAATATCAGATTATTTACTCAAATTATACTCAGAAATGCTACTTTAATAAAGTATCTAAAGTAATAATTAACTAATTAAGTTGGTTAATTATTAGTATAGTAATAAATATTATTATTATTTAGTCATTTTTGAGTTCCAATGGCTTTCTGAATTATTTTTTTAATTTCCATCAATTTTTATCTATTGATGATTATTTGGAAATAATAATTAACATATTTATTGCTAAAAATATGGCAGAAGTACTTAGTTACGTGTCAACATCGATTTGATTTTTTTTTTTTTTTTAATGAAAATTATAATTGAGAAAAATAATTCTTCTTATTGAAGTCAATGTTAAATTTAAGTATAAGTGCTAAGTTTTAGTTTTAAATTTTATATATATATATATATATACATATAATACGAAAAAGTGAAGAAATAATTGTAATGAAGATGCTGATAATACTTTAAATGTAGAAATTCTTTTATATTTGTATAATTTGTTTAAGGAAATAAGCGCATAATTATACAGTTGATTACATTTTTTTTTTGTGTGTGTAATCTGTAGGGCTTTAGCCAAAGATTGATACGGTAATTTTAAATAATTAGCGTAATGATCGTTTCAAAAATACAGTGTGCTGAAAAGTCAGTTAACCCAGTCGTATATTAGACTGAAACGAATTTTATGCTATTATTCGTGATTAATTATTTTATTGGAAACAAGTGAGTCACGAATAAACAATATACAGCTGTACAAAACCATATTGCGACCGTTAACACACACAAACTTATATATAGAGTCTATAATATCGGTTAACTGATTTTTAAGCCATGTTGTATAACAATAAAAATAACGAGTAAATAAAGTGCAGATCGATCAAATGATTTAGAATAGTGTAAAGAACAGATAGACATTCTATTTTTTACAAACATCATATAGATTTACAATACCAAAAACTTAAGAAAGAAAAAAAAATTGTAGTGAACATATAACGTCCTCTGTAATATATAAAATATATTTAGCATAAAATACATCTTAACGCCAATTGGTTGAAATAATTTGAAATTGATAAGAAAAAGGATATAACTCCGCCTGTTTTATATCCTTATCCAATCATCGTTCGTCGAACTAATTTAAATGCTTACTATTTAACATATATTAATGATGATTGAGTAACTTTCATAAAAACTTCATTTCGGCTCCTCTACTAATTTCAACACGTTCATTAATTAAGTTCGTCTTAAAAAAGAAACTATAGTTCTAGAAAAAGAAAGTTTTAATTTCTCTAGAAGTATACATCTAGAAACACAGTAAAACCTGTATAAACCGGAACCTGAATAAAAAAGAAAACCTGTCTAAACGGGAGCAGTTTTCTATGTTAAGATAGAACTTTATTCAAACCGGAAAAAAATATTCCGGTTTATACAGGTTTTTTAACATAGAAAATCACTCCGTTACGAAGATTTTTTTTTTAAAATCAGGTTCCGCTTTGAACAGGTTTTTTTTATTGTATTACATTAATCTATCGAATAATCTTTTAAACAAAATTTCTATATAATTACAATTAATTCTACTTAAACTTGTTCAGAAATCGAATTAGATTATCAGTAAAAATCTTAATAGTGTTTCTTTAAAAACACTTATCATCGGGTTTAACTAAAAATAAATCTTTAAAAAAAAAAAAAAA